GGGGGATAAAGGACAGGATGCGTTCTGATTCCCACCGCTTGATACTGTTCCCAATTGGGAACATGCTGGCTGGGGAATTCTGGGAGTTGAAGTCCACTCATCTTAAAGTGGCCAAGTTTGGACAACACTGTTATAGTCCCTTTGGACGAGTGTCCCAAATGTGCCGTAGTGCAACGCTTTCTATCTCAGCAGAGCAACAGGGTGGAAAGAGGCCCCTTCTGTGAGGTAGCGAAGCTGCTGGGATTGATGGGCATTTAGTGGCAAACCCTCTGGTTGGGCAGGGACCATATCCAAGAATGTTCATACGTCCCACCTCTTCCAGATTTTAGGCCCTTCTGGTGAGTTTGCCCCTTCCACCTATCTTAACCCTTTCCTTTCAGGAAACTGCCTATCACCCTCCTGGCCTTCCCCCTCCCCCAACCTTTTCTCTCTGCAGGTGGGGCACGCTTCTGATTAGAGCCCTGGCCTGCCGCTATCTGTCATTTTTATTTCTTAACGTAAAAAGACAATTTGGGAAAGAGAGATAACAATGATGGGTGATACTACAGGGCAGTTTCTGATGCACCTTGTTGTACATTTCAACAGCAAAATCAAGATCAGGCAAGGCAAGGAGCCTGGCAGCACCACGGGAGGTGTCTGTGGAAAGTTGGATGCCCATGAGCACCAGGTGGTCTCTGCCTGTTATGGGAGTTATTCCACATCAGGCAGCCAATAGTTTTAGGATGCCCACAGCTCCCCAGTCTTCACGCCATGCATATTCTTTCCACTTGCTCTTGCTGCCATGCAAACCGGGGGTTGGCGGGCTACGGCTCCCCTCACCGTGACCAAGCTCTTCTTTTTTCCCAGCTTAGTGGCCATCCCGGTCTATGTGAAGCACAACATCAGTTTCCGAGACAGCAGCTCCCTTGGCCGCTTTGAGATCACCGTGGGGCCCAAACAGACCATGGGGAAGACCGTGGAGGGGGTCCTGGTGACCAGCCAGATGCCCAAAGGAGTCCTTAACATGACTCTCACACCCTCACAGGGGACACACACGTTTGATCCTGTCACAAAGGTGAGGAGGTAGAACCTGCAGCAAAGTCTGGTTCTTGGGATGATCCACCTGTTGTCTCTTCTCCCATCTTCTGAGTGAGGCAGAGAAGGAACATTGGAACCTTTTTGTTGGAGAGGGCAGTCCTCTTTTAGTGGGATGGCTCCCTCGGGGGAAGGGGGTAAATGAAGACTTGTCAGTAGAGAAGATGGATTATCGGTGTTGTAATCATAACTCCCAAATGGAAGCTTTGAACGGGAATGTGAAAATGAGAACTGTGAGTGGACCTCGTTTGGCTCCCCTGGACCTCCTTCCACCCCTTCAAGGAGAGGAGATCGCATCCTACGACGGACCCAAACATTTAGCTATGGCGGTTTTGTTGTTTGATGCCCTGCCATTTAGCACTAGAAAGATTCTGAAATGGATTTTCCTGTTCCATAACAACCTCTTTTGGGCCTCCTCCATGTTCCAGAGATGAGGGGTCTTTGATAGGGAGGGCATCTTTGATCAAGTAATGGTGCTTATCCTTTTTTTAAAATAAATTTCAAAAACTTAAATAATGCTAGTCCATTTTACGGTGCCCCTCGTTTTTGAGACAGGGTATCACCAGGATGCTTATCTTGTATATAAACAATGAAATCCCCCCATTCTTTGAAAAACAACGATCTGCTACTTTGCCTCATCATACAATGGACATTATCAGGGACTTTTCAAGCAAAGCTTGAAAGACCAGATCATTTCATGCCACCTCTCCATCGAGCTATTATCAAAATATTTCCATTGCTGAGCAATAACTCATTTGGCTGCTAGGAGGAGTAACTTAATGAGATATTTACTGTGCAATTTCTTATCCTGGCTGCCAAATATATGTAGCAAGCCTGACTTCGAAGAGAACTGAACTGATTTGAAAATTATCGATTGAATGTAATTGCCTAAAGCTGTTTATCTAAATTTATTTTAGAGTCAGCGGTAGACTGCAGCAAGGATCTTCTGAGAGAACATAGAGGACTGTGCTAAAAGTTTACTGATTGCTAAAATGTCAGTTAAATGGGGAGGCGGGGACTTAAAGTTTAATAAATGTAATTTTGTACAGTAGGATCAAAGCAGCCTCAAACAGATGAAGCACATTCAGAGTGTCCCAGTCTGGAGAAGACTTGGAGAAGACTCAGGTGGGATCGGCAAATCCTCTGGTGTCACAAAGCCCAGTTTCTGCAGGTCCCTTTGTTGCTGGTTTGTTCCAATCCCTTCTGTAGGATTAATTCACTGTGAACTATCTTGTCTTCTCTTTCTTTCTCCATCCTTCCCCGCAAAGCTGCTGACGTGGGATGTGGGAAAAA